CTTCTTGATTGAATGGAACACAACAATAAGCACAACCAAAACAACTGCTATTGTAGTTAATAAATTCTTTTTGATTTCTAATTTTGAGGGCTGTAATTTTCTGGCCTTATGCTATATATAACTATGTATATAATATCTTACTTTTTATTAGAACTTGACATGATACGAGGAAGCAATAAAATACAAGCAATTTTGAGCATCTCTATCCTCATTAAACCAAAATTTGGTTCCATCTACTGATGTGGCTAGCGATAGAGATCAATAAAAAAAAGCTTGCATGCTAGAGGCATGGAATAATAAATTTTTGATGATCAATGTTATAGTGATTTTGGTCTGAACTTCCTGCGGCAGTTCATATGACAATAAAGGTCACTCTGCAGCTGTGTGCTTGTGCCTTCAAAGAGGAGGGGATGCCGCTTCATTTTTTACAAATTACTCTTTATTATTTCATTAAACTGATACTTATTCTTAAAGAGAGTAAACTATCTGTTCATTTTAAGGATAACAAAAGAAATTGATACGTCTAAACACGGAGGAGAATTAGGGTTATCTTTTTTTTTTATCACCCCTCCTTCCATATGTACGTTATGCAATACATTTTAAATCACACGTATTTGTAATTTTTGGGGAGAATCTCTGGTTTTGATTTTTTATATGCTAACAATACCAACTTATATTTAATTTATAAAAAAAAATTGCCATGTTTTCAAAAAAAAAAGTCGCAACTCCACTCAGCGAACTACAAACAGAACTCACATTAAGAGATTTTCTTGATCTATTCTTTAATTATTACTATAAGCGCCAGGCCCATGAGCATTCAAGAATCATTCCTTTAAAAAAAGGCCAAAATGCAAGCCTTAAAATACATCGCAAACCTTCAATGCTCTACTCAGAAGCTGCAAAAGACTGTAAAGAGGATGAGGTCCATCCAAAGTGTCAGTGATCTGCAGCGAAGGACGAATTCTGATTCTAAGGACTCTGTCATCATGTTGTCAGGCTCACGTAGGCCTTTTAGGAACGAACAGCAGTTGCTCTCATCCGATAAGAGTACAGCTAGCTTGGAACACGTCAGAGAAAAGCTTCTGTTTAGGCACATCCCAATAACCCTATCGCTTTTAGAGCGTAATATGTGGGTCCTTCGAAAAATTCGAAAACGTCTACAAATAAAAGCAGAGTCTGAAAATAGCGAGGCACACGCCCTGACAACCTCCGATAACGCGAAAAGGAACGAATTGGTTACCCGTACATCACCGGAACTGACTCCGCAGATTTCTATCCCCGAGCACTCATCCATGACGGCAAACGTGCTTTGTGGAATGCTAGAAGATGACCGCAATCGATCCAGCTTCCCTGATCACCTGGTAGATCATCCAGCAGTAGCCCACTCTCATGGGGATTCGACGTTGAGCCTCACTGATAGGACCTCCAATCTCGGTAATTCGACGACCGGTACCTCGCAGTCCTACGACAAGCGGCAGCGTGGCCTGGTTCCACTACACTCCGCGTTAGCTTCGGTGCCGCACGCGAAAGGGACGTCAAGAATCCTTCGGCTTCTCCATATAGTGGAGTCGGAACGACGTCAGCTTCTTCACGAAAAGCGCAAAAGGATCACGAAGCGTCTTCATCGCCTGGATGCCAATTTTGCTCATGGAAGAAAACACACCAAACCCCTTACTGATGCATCACCAAGCGCTGTGGAAAGGGACGACAGCGAGGGAGATCCTGGAACTACTGGCGAATCTCTCCCTCGGGATCACCACGACACTTATATCGAACTTGAGTTGCTGAACCAGTCCTTGTTAGCGCGTCCCTTTTTGTCAGCACGACTATGGAAACTATTACTGGATGATGATGTATGGAAGGGGGCTATAGCTCAACAACAAAGACTAATAAATGATGGAATGCCTCACCAGGGGCACCACGGCACTCAACATTCCATGGCTTTCTCTGGTGTGTTCCCGCTACTTTCCATGTCTATTTTGCTATCCAGAATTGTCTTGGGAACCTTCCGAGACTATGTTGATGGTGTAGAGGTGAATAAATTCGCTCCTCGCTTTGTTGTTTCGTTACCTTCGGTGGCGTGGTTGAGCAAGAAGCAGCATCCCATGCTGGGGAAAGCAGAGAAAGGAGGATCAAAGGCAGTGCAACCATCACTCTCCTCTGATAAACCAGTTGAAGATAGCTCCAAGCACGCGAAGGAAGAAAAGGCCTCAACATTTAAGGACGGGGGGGAGGAAGAGGAGGAGGACCTACTCCTAAATATGATAAGGCAGACAAGTGATTTGGCTGAAATAGGGAGTACACCCAACGGGCGCGAAAGCGCCGTAGAGGTGTCGAGCGCCTTTCGTGAGAACAAACTTACTCGATCCAAATCAAAACGCAGGCATTCTACAGCCAAACTCCGTTGGATGCCACCGCGCTCAGCCAAAGTACTACCTTTAACAGTTGAAACTCTCACTACGTTTTCCTTTATTCTTCAGCACTTGCCTATCCGCGCAATTGTTCGTGCTAATAGCGCCCACGAGGTTCTGAGTTTGCTTTCTATGCTCCAACATATCGCGACAGCGGTGTTACTGATGGCTCGTGGAAACGGGTCGGTGGGATCTCAGACCCTACATGCTACGCTAAAGAACTTGGAGAAGATGATGTTAATCACAAGTCGTGAACTCCATAATGAAATGGTGGGAATGCTTCAGGAAGAGGACACTGTGCCGACACAAACCCCCGAGCAAGCGGCACGCATGATTATCGAAATGAGTGCGCTTCACCTCCTCCCCTTGCGCGATCTATCCACGGTGAAGTTGCTAAATCGGCTCATCACCGCCGTCTTCCCAGAGCTTCGGACCAACACACTGCAGGTTTTGATGGAGAAGTCCAGGCAAAATCACCTGCTTGCCTTCGCAACACGGAAGCATCGGCTAAAGCTGCACGAGCAGCATGGGCCTTCCAAGGCCGAGCCCTTTGTTTTGGGCACCATCATCCAGCAGGCGCGACTGCGGCAGCGCCAGATGGCCATGGCGCTCCGTGCGGCATACCTTGGCGAGGTCCATCAGCGCGCGATCACCGAGCTCGGCCGCGCCCTGCCTCCACACGACCGGATCGCACTGCTCCAAATCCTGACCGGCGCGTTATCGCTTGAGCACCATCACGGACGTCGGGAGGACCCCTCGGTTGACCAGAAACGCATGGTCACGGCGGCCCTGTTTGTGGTGGAGTCGCTTCTTGTCTCCAAGGCGCTTGATGAGGCGGACGCGGCCCGGGATCTGCCGCTCGAAGACTGGGCGAGACTTTGGATTACCCTCCTCGCGCTCCGGCCGGTGGTGGGGAGGTGGCGGGAGGCCGCGCGACGGAGTCCTCACCAGGCGCACGGCCGGAGCGAGGGGCTGATTGTGGATGCGGCCATGGAGATGGCCTATCACGGCATGGCCGCCATCCTCGCCGAACGATTGGATGGGATTCGTGCTCGGGAGAAGCGGGGGCCGCAGCGTTCAGGCTTACGCTGGCACGCGAGTCCCAACATGGGCCTCGCGGGAGGAACGACGGATGACAATGCCCCCTCAGCACAGAGTCTCTCGATCGTCGGGCTTGGGATACGGAAATGGAGAGAGCATCACGAAAATGAAAAAAAGTATCCAGCTGTTGAACGACTATCAAGGCAGGTGGAAGTTCTAGCGAAGCTTTTACGAGAAGTGTTGCTGTATGACACCGCTCTCCGTTATGAACTGCGTCACTGGGAGGTAGAAAAGCGAGAGACCTTCCATCGTGAAATGACGGAGTGCTTGCGCGCAGCAGAGCTGTTGGACAACACGTCAGAGAGTGGCTTGCGGCTAATTTGCTTCAAGCTCTAAGGGCGAGACATTTGTCCCTTCTTATGTGTGAAAGAGTTATATACCCTGGGATTAAAAATGAACTAATCTCATGAAAAAATAACTATGGTTTGCATTTATTGATTTTGTTACCATGTTTCGCATGTTCACCTTTTCCTTGGCTTGTGTAAGCGCATTTTACGTCTGAAAAGAACTAAGTTTTGCTATATGACAATAGCATCGAAACGTGGAGAAAGGAAAAGAAAATTGATGATTAAAATTAATATCGGTTATTTCTGTTTTCGAATTGAATCGCTTCATCCTACACATCGAGTGCTTCATTTTTAGGCTTCTATTTGTGCTGAATATGATTTATGCGTCCGATCAACATTAATTGTGTGTTTATTATACTAACACTTTTTGCGGTGATAGTCACTGATGCGTGGTCTGGGAATAACACCTACACCCTGGTGGTTTTGACCTCCATCGATGAGGACGAGTTGCTCCGTGATGTCATGTATAACGCCCCATCTGGAACTGCAATCCGGATACCGGTGAATGGCTATGATGTCATCCAAGATGGCACCCAGGCGAATACCCACCGGGAGACCTTCTTTCCGTTTTCCAAAATCACCTCCTCAGATACTTTGTTTTCGCGTCGGGTCCCTTATCCGTACATTACCATCCTTTCGTCTGAGTGGGTGGTGTTGGAGAGGCCTGCACCCGATGCACCTGTCAGCAACCTTCGCCATTCTACTAAAGACGACGACGGCATCAGGGACTCCACTTTATTGCACTGTCGACTGCCGCTGCCTCGGGATGCCAATTTAATGTCGCTCGCGGTGTCCTCCTACCTCAAACTGAAGACGCCTGATATGCGCCGCGATATTCTTGGCTGGTGGACGCGGTTGGCGTATAAACGCCCATCTCACTGTCTTTATGGAGATGGAGAGGGTGCTGTGACGGGGACACCCCGCTATTATGAAATTTGCCCTCTTGAAGGAATATATCGCGTAAAGAAGGGCTCCCTACTGAGGACCATGGGCCAAACAATTTTACCACAAGATCCCACCACTGAGGCAGAGAAACACAACGCCTCTAAATCTCATACCGCGCAAGGGGAAGGAACCAAACCACCAGATGTCTTGAAATTACTTGGTCAAATGCACACCTCCGCACTTCAACGCCGAATACTGCGCAATGATCCACGCGTCGCCTTGGCCTTTGAGAAAATCGGTCAGTATCACGCTGTACTGAGTTCCCCGCACTGGAACGAAGCCCAGAAAGCGTGGGAGATGGTGTACCCTTCCACCCAACCATGTGACTTGCATGCTACCGATTATATTCAGGATCGTGACAGCGATGTTAAGGTTCATCATAGCAGCAGAACCTTCCGGGGCGAAGGTCATGAATCCTCTTCTTCAATCCGCCACCCTAACGCTACTATTAGAGTAGACGATCCCTACTGGAAAACAGTGATTCAACTACGTTGCCCAGCAGATTATCGAACTAAGCATCGTGACTCCCGCAACTACAAACCCGATGACGATGATACCAGATATTGGTCTATTAGTGAGGTTCGGCAAATGTGCCGCTACGATGTTGAACTGGAGACAACATTAGTGTGCGCTTGGGAGCAGGAACTAGACAATCTGGTGGTAAACCCCATCCCATGTGTGAAGCTGAACTAGTCAACCGTGCAAGAAAATGAAAGTATAGAATGTACAGATTGGATGAGGGAAGATGTGGGAGATAAACTTTGGAAATATAAGCGAGGCCGTATCGAAAGCGATTAAACTGGATAAATAAATCTGTATTTGATTGGGTAAAAAATGTCAATGGACGTTTTACCGCCCCAATGGTGTTTTCCAATCTGCTGACTAACCTGCTCCCTTACCCTGTGAATAGCTATTATTCTTTCTACTCTAAGCGAAAACGATACATAGACGTGAAGCTTAGAAGAGTAGTAGGCCCATTTCTTATTTATATTTTTATTTTGTGCTTTACACTATGGATAAAAATGAGGTTAAAAGTAGGCAAACACAACTTCTTCGACGGGCAAAGAATAGAGTTGACAATTTGCTGAACATGAATGTATTAGACAGCGACACTCGACACCTTCTTTTACAAGAAGCGATGGCCCCCTTGCACGGGTCTCCCTCGCGTTCAAGTCTGTCTTGTACTAATATGCTGAAAAATCATTCCGCACAAAGCCTTTCTAATGCCACGAAGCCTTTTCTGACACCGCTGAAAATTCAAGAAGGCGATCAGGTCAAAGCAAATGATCCAGAGAGGATGCCCAGCTCTTACGCACGAGCGAGTGGGAGGTCTGGATCTGGGGACCTCATCACCTCAATGGCGGCGAGGCTAAAGGAGTTGGAGAAGACACACAAAATCTATCAAAGCGAGCTAAAAGAAATGCACAATAAATATCATGATCTTGAGCTTTCTTTTCAGAAGGAAACGCAAAAACGTGAGGAGGCCGAAGCGCTTCTTGTCGAGCTTTACGATGAAAAGAAGCATCTCGAAGAGCTGATCCATCGGCACAGCCCGCGGGTCCACTCCCACGGGGGGGATCCCTCGCGGAGGACAAGGCACACCACCCCCGACAGCTCCCTCGTCCTGCAGGAGGGGTCGACGTCTTGGTTGGAGGGCGGCACCGGGGGGTCCGGCTCGAGCCTGCGGGGGGCCACCCCCGACCCCGACCACGTCCGCCTCACGGCCGAGCGCGGCCTGGTCGACCCCCGCAATGCTCTGCCCCGCCAGGGGCCCGCCGCGGTGATGCTTTTCAACCCCTTCCCGCGGGATGGAGGGGGGGACGACCTCGTCCTCCGGAGACGGCCCTCGTCCCCCTCGAGCCCGGCGCTGGATGTGGCCCGGATGGTTCGAAACGCTCGCGTGCTCTCCGATCACGTCGGGCGGAAGGAGGTCGTCGTCGCGGACGGGCATGGGCACATCGCCAACCGAGAAGTAGTTAGCGTAGTGGTCTATAAAAATGGAATTAGCGTCAACGACGGGGCCTTTCGTCCGTACACATGGCCCTTGTGCATGGCCTTCGTGCAGGACCTTATGGAAGGTTACTATCCATATGAGTTCAAGGATCGGTATCCTGGTGGCTTTCCCATCGAGGTCATCGATAAAAGCTCCGAGGACTGGCAACCTCTGGCTAATAAACCACGACCAAGCTCGGTGGGTGCCGCGGCAAACGCCGCTATGAACCTCCGTCCGCGCAACGTGCACTCGCTGCAGAACCCTCAGAGTCCACTTTCGAAGGAAGGCTTTCTTCAGCAGCTCCCCGCGACGAGAGTGACGGCGAACGGCCGTCTTGTGGATGTTCGAAACACCATTACCTCTCTTTTCCAGAAAAACGCTGCGGAATACTTAGGACCTAACAGCGAGAACCCTGCTAATGAGACAATTCGGCACGCCACGACCGCGGAGCGTGCGTATTTCACTAAACTTGAAAAATTAGAAAGCCAGCAACACCAGAAAAGCGGGGCTGAACCCCCGAAAAACGATGTGACTGCTATAGGTAACCTCATTTCACTTTTGATTCGACTACCTAATGGAAAGAAAGTGGTCATGCGCATGTCTCCCAACAACACCATCGAACAGCTTCATAAGGAGTTGTTAAAGGCTTCTCCCGAGATCACGCGTATCTATAAAGACTTTGAGTTTTGTCAAGCCTTTCCGTTTCGGCTGTACAGTGAGCGAGCAGAAACATTGAAAAATATAGGATTATCAGGGAACTGCATGTTGTTGTTACGTGTGTTGAAGTGATCCCAATGTGACGCATTTTTATTGGTTTTGTGTATTTTCTGTTTGTGTAGTTGTTTGTATTTTTACTGAGCAGCTACCAATATATGAGTTTATTGTATTTACTTACTTAGTAGATATTGAGAGGGTTAGAAATTTGATTAATATGACTTTTATGTACTTTCCTCTTTGTAGGGGTGAACGTAAGGGAAAGATTAGACCCCTTTTTTTGCATAGTTGCACGTAGTTTCAAAAAGTATACATGTTTAGAAAATGTATAGCTAATGTTATTATTTTCATTTTTCCTTTAGCAATACCTATAGACCTAAAGGAAACTGAATTAATAAATAAAAAATGTTAAAACATATTATGGATCATAAATCCATTTCACTCCTTATTGAAAATCTGATTTCCCTCTTGCTTTTTACATTGCTTAGCTTAACCTATGGCGTGAACGGACATTTCTTTGTGTAGGGGTCATATGAATAGTTGTTGCTCTTTTGCTGTTTCACTTGTTGTAGGCTATGCCTAAAATGTGGATTCCTTCAAGTGTTTTCAGCGCTACCCAAAAATTGAGGGTACAGTTTATCGCCAAAGGTCAGACCGATATCGTGCTGTCAACACTCAGTGAGATTATGATGAAGGTATTCGCTCCTGCTGCTCCCATGGTAACCGTATCCCTAGCTACTTTACCAACGGTGAACCACAGCATTCCTGGTGTAAAATACGGTTGAGAGCTTTTTTTTTTTTTACACAGCTCTCAGGATGTGATGCAGACCTAACAGACGCCTCTGTGAGAAGTTCGATTACACACCAATCACCACTCCCTTTCTGAGCTGTTGTTTGGGCTCAATTGCGCCGTGTCGGGGTCCTTTTTGCCACCGCCAGCGGTGCGGAAAACGAAGTCCCTTTTTCGGATACTTTGTGGGACGTTGCTGGACTATGGAATGCAGACCTGGGGGGTAGGATGGTGGGGTTGTGGTGATAACGGTGATTGTGACCGAAGCGGAATCCTCCCTCCGCAATCTCAAATAAAGGAAAAGCAGGGTCTGTGCGTTAAACACTTTTCAGGGTAGACCACTGCTATCAGGAGTTGATCTGTGGTGTGGCTTCACCTAGGGAGGTTCCAACACATAAATCTTCCTGGAGAATGGGAATTTGTGTAGGTATTGAGAAAAATGTACGTTGCTCGGCAAATAACCTTGGAATTCAGAAGGGGCTCGTAATTTTACTAAGTCCTATTTAAGATAAATTCACAAGTTTATTGAAACAACAACAACCTTACTCAGAAAAGGAAATCCTTGGATTATTCCAGGCTGGTATGAATTGATATCATCCGACTCGCTTTGCCGTGAAAGCATTTCTATAGGGCCGCATCCAAAAGAGGAGAAATATTATCACAAGAAAATAACTAAATCATCACAATCTTTTGCAATTCCTCTTTGATGATTTTTGTTTGTGATTCTTGATGCATATATTTTCTTTTACGGTTTGCATTTTGAGCTTATTTCCTGTCAACAATTATAAATTTATATGAGTGACATTTTCAAGTACTTATCTGTAACATCCCATTGAATTATTTTTAATAATCTTCCTTTTTTTTTCCTGTATACCTGATATAGAGGGATTAATCACATCCTGTAGATAGTCAATGTCAAAAGAAAAGAATTCCAGATGGAGCGAAGCACGCTATGTTAATATGGAGATTCCAAGCTATATTCCATCCGAAGCCCTAGTTCACGAGAACGGCCAATTTGTTCGAGCTTTTTTGCTTCGAGCAGTGGCCAATGATATGCAGCGCATGTTACAAACAAATACCTGTGACTTGTACTTTCGCAACATTCCTGTCGTGCCCGAGTACGACGCGAATGGCAATCGCACCAACACCCCACACAATATGCTAGCAGAAAAGAGACTCAGAATCATTGACGAGATTGGGCGTCTCAACCGCACTTACGTTGAGCTAGACAACGCGGCTAAAGCGAAAGAAATTTCTCGCAAAATCTATTTTACAGATGCACAAATGGAGACAGGGGAGTGGGGAGCTATCCTGGGCGCCCGGGGCAGCGTTCATCAACAATTGGAGAAGGAGACAAAATGTAAGATTGTTTTGGCAGGGCGGGGCATCACAAATCCCTTGAAAGATACAAGCCCGAACGCGGCTTCCTTGTCGTTGGAAGATCCTCATGTCCGCATCACTGCTTCAAGCGAAGTGGATCTTCAGAATGCGGCAGAGCGGATCGAGTGGATCCTGTCCGATGACCCCGAGGCAGTGGAATTCCGGGAAAAGAACCGGCGCCGTATGGCTCAGGTCGAAGGTCGCTACGATCCTCGTACCTGGGTATCATCGAGCGCACTACGCTCTGCGGACGGTAAGGGTGTTGGAAAATCAGAGAACGCGGCTGTGCCCGTGATCGACGAGGAGCTCGATAAATTTCTGGAAGATTTGGAATAGTCTCTAAACCGGGGAACGTCTCATCATCAGACATGGCTCTGTGGCGGCGATACCATCCCTCCTTCGGACAGTGTTATCGCTGTAGTTTATTCGAGAAGTTGAAAAACAAGGTCCGTCAGCTGCTCAAACCGGACAGGGGGATGTGTGCTGAAAACAAGCTATCTCAAGCCCCTATGTGGGAAAATCTGAAGCAACACAGGCAGCCTCGAAATTAAAACTGTATTGACTTAATTGGATTGATTCTGTAAAGAAATCAGTAAGTTGCATCGACTTTCTTCTTATCCTCTTCAAATAACAAAAAGTATCATTTTCCCCTTGCGCTGTTATACGCCCATTTCTTGTCACACTGCATGTCTTTATCGCCGTCAGAATGAGAACATCCTATGGAATAAGCGATGGAGGGGTCGAGCATAGCGATAGGGGTAACTAGCAGAATTTTGTTACTTATTATCTAATTCAATAGATGGGGACTTCAAAAAAAAAGACTTGATAAACGTCCCTGACTTCTATGATTAATTACATCAGGAAGAATGCTATGGTAATGTTCTTTATCTTGGAAAGAATGTAAAAATACGAAAGAACAGGACATTTTCTTGTTCTCATGCATACGTGCCTCACCTTTTCTCGATCACTTAGTATTTATTTCAATTGTTTTCTAAGAATACAATAAAGGGTATTTAGATAATCCTAAACTTAAAAACTAAAAAGAATAACAGCGACAAAATCAGCACCCTAACTAATATTGTCTTCGATTTTTTTTTTTGATGGATCATTCTAAGCGAAACGGCTTCCTGCGTGTGGTACACGGAAATTCAAACCCCCAACTTGCCGAAGAAATCTGCTCATGGCTTAGGATTCCCGTAACAGTCAGCCAAGTGGGCACTTTCGCCAACGGCGAAACCAGCCTGAAGGTACTTGAGTCCATCCGAGGCGACGACGTCTTTGTTGTGCAGCCAACCTGCTCCAATGGCTCCTGCAATGTGAACCAGGCCGTGATGGAACTTCTGCTTATGATTCACACGCTCAAGCTTTCCTCGGCCCGTCGGGTGATTGCCGTTGTTCCACACTACGGCTATGCCCGGCAGGATCGCAAGCACACCGGACGCGTCCCCATTAGCGCCTCGGCGGTGGCCAAGATGATCACCGAGTTGGGTGTCAACGGGGTCGTGACCATGGATCTGCATTGCCCTCAAATTCAGGGCTTCTTTCACGGCTGCCCTGTCGCGGATCTGAACGCGACCACCGAGTTCTCGACCTTCATCAAACAAAAGGGATTAGATACCGACAAATTGGTCGTGATCGCGCCGGATGCCGGTGCGGTGACGCGCGCTCGCCGGATGGGGGATCGCATCGGGGCGAGCCGAATCGCGACGATTCTCAAGCGCCGTGTAGTTTCGAATCAGGTGGAATCGATGCAGCTCGTGGGCGAGGTCGACGGCTGTGTGTGTATTATTGTAGACGACATGATTGATACCGCCGGAACACTGTGTAAGGCGGCGGAGTTGCTGAAGGAATACGGTGCCAAGCAGGTCCTGGCTTTCGCCACTCACGGGATCTTCACGGACCCGGCCTGCGAACGGATCACCAAATGCGATGCCTTGACGAAGGTGGTCGTCACCAATACAATTCCCCAGAAAGAATCGACCGCAAAGTGCGCGAAGATTAAGGTCATTTCAATAGGTCGACTTCTGGCAAATGCTATTCTCCGTCTACACTCCGAGGTCAGCCTTGAGAAGGTTGAAATGATTACTATGCAAATGTCAAATCCGGACCTCCAGCCGCTAGAGTTGTTAGTGGAGGAGGATCAATGGCCTCAAACACAAGAAGCAGACCCCGATCCTTTATCCTAAGTGATTTGCTAATGTGGAGGGTGGGGGGAAGGGGGTAAAGGGAGAGTTGAGTTTATACAAAAGGAGAAGAGGAAGGAAAGGTAACAACAATATTGATCTAATTTGAGTGCAAAACTGTTTGCCTAAAAATGGTAATAAATGCTATAGCGAAAAGGGAGGAAATATGTATGAGTAATTTTACTGTCCCGGTTGGTTGTGTTTCGATATTATAGCCGCTGCTTTTTAAACTAATACTGTTCTGCTGAGTGATGGTAGTGAGGATTGTGTGATGGCATTTTTTTTTTCAGGTTATACTATCAGGACGTCAGCTAAAGTAACATTATACCATAATGGGATGTAGTGATACTGAATGGAAAATGAAAAATAGTACGATTATATACACCTTTTGGCTACAAGTCCGTGAACTTTTTCTAGTTATATTGAACTCATTGCAAACACTCTTGTTGCTATAGGTGGCGATGAGTATTTTTTCTTCTTCGTAGTTTTCATTAAGTGCTTGGTTTTGAAATAAGCTATAATAACATTAATACAATATCTATCGAAAACAGATAGTATTAATTACCTCAAACATCAAATAAAATGCTAGTCAGTTTCTGTCTAGTTAAACTTACAAACACCTAAAATAAGGCCAGAGTGCATTAGTACATCTAAGATCTGAATAGCAGTTGCACTCGTATTTTTTTTTCCCATGTGTAGATACCTCCTGTTAAGCTTCCTAGAGTCCAGCGTTTTAGAATACAATGGGATCTACCACTGGGGTAGCTCTGCTATCGATGCTTGATGTTCTTTAAGATTTGAAGGCACGTCTTTGAGTAACTCTACCGCTTAGCAGTTTATCCTTTTTCCTCCCTTCTTGTTCTCCCCCAACGTCGTGAACGTAAACTTTTTTTTTAAATGACAGACTGCATAATATACACATAAATTTTACTAATCACTGCTAATAAATTTTACATTTTACACATGTTTCGACGGACTACATTTTCGCTAAAACCCAATGTAGTCATTGTAGGTACAGGATGGGCGGCCTGTTATACGGCTCATCGACTGAATCCCTCAATATGTAATATTCAGGTCCTTTCGACTCGCAACCACATGGTCTTCACTCCACTCTTGGCGCATACGACAACTGGAACGCTTGAATTTCGCGCGGTTTGCGAACCCATCACCAATATCCAGCCAGCCTTGGTAAATCTCCCACATCGTTTTTATCGTTGTATGGTATACGACGTGGATTTTGATGCAAATATTGTGAAATGCGTGGGGTTGGGCGTTCCCGGCACCACAGAGAAACTTCCCGTACACACTTTTAATGTCAAATACGATTATTTACTCCTCGCCCATGGCTCACGCCCCAACACGTTCAACACCCCAGGTGTAACCGACAAGGCTTTTTTTCTTCGCGAGGTCAACGAGGCGCGTGGCATTCGTAAGCGCCTTGTGCAGAACATTATGGCAGCGGACCTCCCGACAGTCCCGATCGAGGAAACGAAGCGCCTTCTGCACACCGTAGTCGTCGGTGGGGGGCCGACAGGGATCGAATTCGCCACCAACCTCGCCGAATTCTTCCGCAAGGATATCGTCCGGCTGAATCGGCACCTCCAAAAATACTGCAAGGTGACGGTGCTCGAGGCGAATGAGGTGCTAGGGACCTTTGACCAGACGCTGCGGAACTACGGGCATCGGCGGCTGGCGGAGTTGGGGATCAACATCGTCAACACTGCCGTGGTGGAGGTGACGGAACGGGGGGTGGTCACCACCAGCGGGGAGACCCTGGAAAGTGGACTGGTCGTCTGGAGCACCGGCGTGGGGCCGACTATGCTGACCCTATCCCTCCAGTGTGATAAGACGAAGCAGCAGCGCATCTCGGTCGACGAAAACCTACGCGTGCTCCGTGACGGGAAGGCGATTCCAAATGTGTTCGCCGCCGGGGACTCCGCGGCGAATGTGACGGCGCCGCTGCCTACGCTTGCGGCCGTCGCGAGACGCCAAGGGGCCTACCTTGGAAAGCAATTGAACCATCTAATCACGAAGAAAACAATGACTCAATCCTTTGAGTACAAAGACTTGGGCAGCATGGTGGCTTTGGGCGACGCAAGCGCGATTGTTTCCCTTGGATCGAAGCGTAAAATTGGTATTCAGGGTCTCAAAGCTTTATGGGTTTGGAAAAGTGCCTACCTCAGCATGATTGGCTCTTTCCGAAACAAGCTTTATATCTTCATCAATTGGTGTGGTAGCCATTTATTCAGTCGTGATATCACGTACATCGGCGATCTTAGCGAAGATCGTCTATACAAAATATTGGCTGGCCATGAGATGTCACGAACAAAGAACCGTCCACAAGCAACCGAAGTGCTGAAAGGGATGACAGCAACACAAACGTTTACACCTGAACTCCTGGAGAAGGCTGTAAGTAATGGCTATATTACACAGGATGATATTCGTGAAATGAATATTTCACCAGCAGATATGGCAAATAAAAAAACATAATGAAATCACAATATGTGCCGAAAAATCGGTGCAATGTAACAACTCATGACTATATAGTAAAAAGATTTCAGATTGAAATGCAAAAAAATCGAAATCCTTATAATTTTTGCTCCGTTTATGACATTATTTTAAACTTTCCTTTTATTATAGAAGCAACTCTGGGGATGCATAGCCGGTGGTACAGGATTGGCGTTTGGAATGAATTCCTTTTTTTACGATTAATTACGTCTTTCCATCTATCGATCTGGACAATGAATATGTACTTTTTTTTAATATATAT